CTCTAAAAAGCCAACTTGGCGATAGAGATAAGCATTCCGCGACTTGTCGATCTGTTCAGCGAGCACGACCTAACTCGCCAAATTGACCAAAAAGTGTATTTTTGTTAAGATTTTTGAAAATGTATAAATAGCCTTTTTTGGAGAGAGAAATTACTTTACACTTTTTGAATATTTCTGCACTATAGGAGCTTCTGATATTGGGAGATTTTCTTGTACTTGCGAATCTGGGGATTGAAGGAGATTGTGAATTACATTCTCATTATATTTTCAACCAATTACCTACTATGGAGAATCATTTTTATAACTTACTTTTACTTTTCAGCATGGTTCACTAAAAAATTATAGTCTTAAGGCGTGCACTTGTAATAGATGCTTAATTAGCATATGTGTTTTCGTTAATTGATTAATATATTGTTGATTTGATATGAGTCCAGTTATCTCTTCATTATTTAACTTATAATTTGAGGTTGAAAACTCTTATTTAGCTTAGACCTCTAGTATTGCTTATGAAAGATACCTAGAGTGGAAGAGATAACTAATAATTACTTGATTTAGTTCATTTTATAGCCTTAGCTTGATGAAGTTTGACTGAATCAATGTTTCGAATTGATTTATGTTGTTGCATATGTTGGGATTTTATAGATACCACCTGAGTTATGATGATTGATTAATAACTAGTTGTCATTTGTGTAAATCTAGCCTACCCATTGACAATCAAACTGATTTTAGCAATTGAATTAACCCATTTTGTAAAATTAGCATCCATTTACGCACATTCCTAAGATTCCTCTCTCACTCTTGAAATATCCGTTGTGTACTTGTGTTACGCTTGCTACTGTTAATTGTTAAAATCTTGTTAACCAAATTCGAATTGTTAATCAACCCCCATTTACATTCATGCATAAATTGCTTGAATCACATCATAAGGTGAATTACTATCGACTATTCCCTACGAGATCGACTCGAGCTCCTTGTTGGGTTATATATTGCGAACAATCGTCTATACATCGATTTGTAAGGTATATAATTGAACGTTATAAAAAATTATAGTAATTTACAAATCTATATTACTACCTAATAAAGGGGAATATGAGGCACCAGACCGTCAACACGTCTTCTTGTGCTGCCTGCTTATTCCCCTTGGCTGCCTCATCTTCATTTAGCTGCTATTTATTCTGGAAAAAAGTAGGATCCCCTTAAAATTTTAACTGTGAACTTACTTTTTAGGATCCTTCATAAGATGGGCCCATGAAAGTTTTTTATGGGCTCCATTTATATTTTATACTTATTTGTTAATTTTTAATTGTTTATTATTAATTTTATACGTCTTTGAAATTAATGTTTGATATTCGTATTTTATCATGATTTCCATATCAAATGATGTATAATCTTAAATTTTGAAGAATAATTTATGAAATAAGTAATTAATGTTGAAGATAAACATGAAAAAAACTTCTTATGCTAAAAGTGAAAGGTAAAAGTCAAAAAACGTGTGTTCTTCAAAATTAGTATTGATTTAATGGATATTTTTGTCATTTAATAATTTTCACTTTATTGTTTTATTTATCTATTTTAACAAATCAAGACAAGTTTATTATTTTTATCCAATACTATGTTTATCCTTAAATAAATGTATAAAGTAATAGTAATCAAAAATAAAATTTTAAAATATAATTAATACATTTAATTCAATAAAATAAAATCTTAATAAAATAAATAATATAAATATTTTTATGTGAACAATTTTAATGAACTTAAAATAATTAGTGAAATAACTTAATAACTTATTATATTAAATATATATAACAAAATTATTAAAAATTATGATTAAAAAAATATACATAAATATTTAACTCAGTATTATTGGGCCCGTGCACAGGACGAGCAACCCTTTCAAAGTGACTATAAAAAATTATAGTCATTTGAATATCAAAGTGACTACATTTAATTCCATTCATCATCAATCATATTATTTTTTCTTACTTCATTACCTTAATTTGATTATTGCTTTCATTTGTATCATTTCCTTAAAGGACTTTTTTAATAATAAAATTTACCCTTTTTAATTATTATTTTTTACAAGAAATTAGTTATTATAACATGGTAAGAATGACATATATTTTTTTATGAAATTTAATTTTTTTAATTTAGATCACTTCTTTTGCTAAAGATTCATATATATATATATGCGTAATAATAAAATTAAAATTAGAAAAAGATGACAACCTTCTTATTTCAGATATTTGTTTATTTTAATCATTTTTTTTTGACATTTTATCTTATATTTTCTTTAAATAATTGTTAAAAATTATGTGGAGGTTTATTTTATTTTTTTTCTATTTTTTTTTATACTTTTCCAAATTTTGAAAAGACGGAAAATTCTATCTCAAAACCTTATTGAGTTATCAAATACGCCCATATTTAAATCATTTCATCATTGATGCTATTAATTTTTTAAATTTCTTTCCTTAAATTCATCAATAATGTTATGTGTATCATTTCCTTAAATCATTTCTTTTCCTTTCTTTTTTCTTTTTACTTTTTTATTTCTTTATTCATTTCAAAAATTAATTGTCATTAACTGTATAACAATTGTATTTTTTAATATATAAATAGAATTTTATTTGTCGTTTTTTTGAATTCTTAGATTTTTTCTTCTACTAAAGATTGATATCTATATGTTATAATAAAGCTAAAAATATAAGAGGTGGTGTGATATCCTTCTTAGTCCAGATATTTATTAATTTGTATCAATTTTTTTTTGATATTTTCTTATATTTTTCTTAAACTAATTGCTTAAAAATGAAGTTAATTTTATCAAAAATATTATGATAATTATTTGCATTCATTGCTCAATTAAAAAGATAAAAAAACATTTAAGAGAAATAAAGTATGCATGAAATGTTTCAGTTTTTAATTATTTGTTTTATTTTCATTAGAGTAGAGTCTAAAAAAAATTATTTTGAAATTGCAAACCTGAAAATCCTTCACTTTTATCATAATATTCATTTTCAGCTTCTTTCACATATATAAATGATGACTTCTAACAGCCTCTTATCAATATGGTCTTTTAGGTTATTTGCTATTAAATTTTTTATTTGCGCTAATCAAGTATTATTTTTTTATTTTGTTGGATGGTTTTTTTTATGAATATTATATTATTGTGCAAGTTTTTTTTCTATTTATATAACACATTTTTTAAAAAAAATCTTGATTTATTAGCATAGTAAATTTTTTAAATGAAAACTTTATTTACAGTTGGTTGGTGATATGTACTATATTAGATAAAAAAAAGTGACCTTGCAATTAGATTAAATGAATGTTAGAAAAAAATATATAAAACAACAAATCAATTAATTTGATGTTGGTAAGTCATTTATTTGTTCTGAGCAATTTAATATTAATGTTGTTCTTAGTCGATACTGGGTCATTCATAACATTATTATACTTTTAGTTTTATTTTTATTTTTCAATAAAAGTTGATGACCTACAAAATGCAAGCTTTATTCATATTGCATTATAGATTTAAAAGTAATCACTTTTAGATTGCTAAATTATTTATGATTAATTTTCTATTTTACTAACATCATATATTAAAATACTAATTCCGTTCTTATTCTTGATTATCACTAGACTATTATAACTTATGAATTTAAGGGTTTCGACAAAAAAAATAATCATATGACTTGAAGTATTGCAAGTTATATTTCATGAATAGGTAATTTATAAAAGGTTTATTTTAAATTATTGTTATACCGCGCGAAGCGCGGACAAGTTTCCTAGTACATTCATAGTACACAATAATTAGGGGGACTCAATAGAATTGGTGATCTAAAGCCAAAATTTAGAAAAAAGAGCTGTGTTTATTATTTTTTCTAAAAATATTTATTCTGTTAAATTTTAAATAATTATTTTTTTCTTTTCAATTAACAGTATACCATTTCTTGTAATATTTTGTCACACAATAATAAACATATATAAATTATAGTATGTTACATAACAACACAAATGTTTATAGATATCTTATTGATTATAGTTTTGAAATATTTTCAATAGAATCAATTGTTACATAAACTAAATAATTATTCTAAAAGTATTTAAAAATAAAATTAAGACTTCATTTCATTGAATATGTCAATTGGAGTATCATTCTTTTACTTATATAATATTTTTTAAATTTAATTATTTGATAATCTAATTAGTTTGAGATGAAATGTTTAATAAAACATCTTAAAGAATTGAAGACAATCTTACAAAGTCAATATTAAAACACGATTGATTTAAACTGAAGTAAATTAAGAAATAAAAAGTACTTGTAAATCTATTTGTCTACAATTTTTAATTATAATTATACTCCCTCCGTTCCTATTATATGTTTTCTTACTAAAAATAAATGATCCTTAATATTTGTCATTTTCACAAAATAAATACATAAATGACACTATTCTTCCTATTTTACTCCTAAGAGTTATTAACCATAACAGTATATGTTCATTTATTGAAAACTTGACTTAAAAAAAAAAAACTATTTCCATCCACTTTTAATTGTCATAGTTTCCTTTTTTAGAATCAAACTATAAAAACGTTGACTAACATTTTACGATGTATTTTTTCCATCATATTGATATGCAAAAAATTACAATTATAGTACTTTTCGTATAGTTATTGAATATCTATTTTTTTTTTGTATAAAATATCAAATTAATGTTATCTAATTAAATTTTAAAAATGAGTCAAATTGACATTCGAAAAATGCAACATGATAAATAAAAGTGAATGAAAACACTAATAAATAAGGATATAATGGACGAGAGGGACTTGCTCGGATGATAAGCACCCCTCACTTCCAACCTGAAGGTTGCGAGTTCGAGTCATCAAGGGAGCAAAAGGGGTGGGAGCTCCTAAGGGAGGGTAAAAAATAAAATAAAAAGAAATGAAAAACTTACATACTTTCTTAAGCTACATCTAAAATGATACATATAAATACAAACGAACTTTCTAATTAATAGTAACATTTTCTTCCAGTGTGCTATACGGTGCTTCTCACCATTTATACTCCATTTTACATCGCCTTCATCAGATCTGGTCGTCTCTTTTATGTATGTATCTCCTGCATCTTTTGTCTGCTCAGTGCTTTTGGTTCTTCCTTTAATCGTCCTCTTGCTCGAATTGTGCATCTTTGGTATGTTTTTGTATTTGATCGAACTGAATTTGGGGGTTTCTTGATTCGTTGGAGGCCCTTATTTTTTGGGGTCTAAAGTCACTGCTTTAGGGTTTTGATTTCATTGTCGTATGCTCTAACTTTTAACTTATCTTGAACTATGTCATTTGCAGATTCTTCTAAGAGGATTTTGGTCCACTATTCACTTGTTTTAGCATGGTAAAGTTTCACCAATTGCTTATTCTTGTTGGGCATATATTTCTTATGCACACATATATGTATGTGTAATGTAATTACCTATGTGTGATGAGTAATTGGCCTTTCAATTTCAACATCAGCTATATGCCCCACATTCATATATGCGGTTTAACTTAATCCTTATGCAATCTAAATGCATAAATGCCAACTTTTAAGACAAATGCCATGATTTCTGCTCTTTAAAATGATTGGGACTACTTCTTGCAGAATTATATTATTGGAGCGTTCAAGCCAGCATGCAACATCTCAATCACGTTTGGTGATGGAAAATCCCGCAAACAGGTAAGTTATTAGTCTCTTAGAACTTATCATGCTTATAACATTTGTCAATGAAGATGATGCCCTTGGTGGAGATTGATGAAATAATCTACCGTTACGTGTAGCAACTTCAGCTCGTGAATGTGCTTATTATTTTTATTCTATTACCTGATCAGGAGATTTCGTCACGTTAGTAGAAACACTTTCGTCTTCAGTGATGTAAGACAGCCAGTAGGCAGTAATTGCTCAATATCAACTTCACAAACTGGATGGGAAAAAGTAGCTGAGATACTATATATTCTTTGTTTTGGCAAATAGAAGCTTGTTGTTCCATGATATATCCCCCTTGATGATCTATATGCTGCTAATTGGTCTTTTTCCTTAATATAAATTAATCAATTGTGTATCAAACCTCAACCTTATTGGTTGCTGTCTATGAAGTTTCATTTAATCTACTTTGGTACACTATTGTTATATGACAAACCTATCCCCTCCGGCCCTCCCCTAAACAACAAAAACTATTTTTGCATGACAGTCAATGTAATTATCAGAAAATAAGGACATGATACCTCCTTGTTAAAGAAATTCAAAAATCATTAAACCACAAACCCAGTTTATACTTGTGCCGAAAGAGAAAAGGTGACAGAAGATAATGTATATATAATGTCTATGTGATGGAGAATATAACTTATTTAGTAACTTAAAGTCAGGGAATTGGATAGAGTTGTTCTTTAGAGTGAGTAGTATCAATAAGCATGTTACATTTTCCATTATTGGGACACACCTCCAAAAATATTTAAAAAGAGAAGTTTAATATCAAAGTCCAGATCAGATGAATGCTGTAATTATGTGTCTAATAAGTGTAAAGCAGATGTACTGTGAAACAAGATGTACTGCCTTAAAATGTGCATGTAAATAGATGCAACCTATCTCCTTTTTTTTTTAATAAAAATAAATTTATTTATAAGAACATATAGCTAAGTAATTGATAAAGATTGGGCACCTGCAAGAACTAGGAAAGTAGCAAAAACTCTTCAATACCTCCCAAATACAAGTCAACTAATCTCCAAGGCAAAAGGATCAGGAAACCCAACAATAAATCCAAGTGCAATATTTTCTTTATAAGAAAATCCAAGCAACTACAAGTCGGCAGCAATGGGAATTCAGCATCTACTTAATATTCTTCTTAGGCCTCAACTGGTTGTTGTGTTCACATTTATTCTTGCGGCAGTTGTCAGCACGAGGATGCAACCGAGCATTGCACTTGCGGCATATCATCCTGTCTTGATTGTATTTCCTAGCCAAAGCCATCAACGATGGCTCAATGATTCTCACCACGAAGCCTTAGCACTAGATGTAGAGTTGATTTTTTCTGGATGTTGTAGTCCGCCAAGGTGCGGCCATCCTCAAGCTGCTTACCAGCAAAAATCAGCCTTTGCTGGTCTGGAGGGATTCCTTCTTTGTCTTGTATCTTGGCCTTAGCATTGTTGATAGTATCGCTGAATTCAACTTCCAGTGTAATGGTTTACCGGTCAGAGTTTTCACGAGTATCTGCATTTTCACGATGAAATTTGCCTTCTTCCTTCAGCTCCTCCTTGCAACCTAGTTCACTTATCCGGAAAAATAAAAAATAGAAAAGAAAAAAAATTGGTGCAACCTATCTCAACTGAAGAAGTGTCAAAACAAAATTGGAGACTTGTTGACTCTACAAGTTGACTGCTTGCTTGGTGTACTATTTTCTGTTAGGTCCCCTTGAAGAAGGAAAATGGTCAAACTGTTATGGTCCCACTTTTCCAAAGTCAAGAAAACATTGCTGGAAAGGTATTATTCATGTAGTGTACTAATGATTCTGATAATACTCTTTTATTTGTTACTTTTAGAAAAGTATTTATTTGTTACAGGACCTTTCTTTGAGAATATAGTTTCATTATGACTTCAGATTTCTGTAGAACCAGTATCAGGAAAGAAGGTTGAACATAATGGGATCAAAGTTGAGCTTCTTGGTCAGATAGGTGAGCTTTAACTTGTGACAATTTTAAACAACTTTTTATCCGCATGTGATTTGCAGTCTCATGTCCTTGAATCAAGTGCTCAGATTGCGAATGAAATTACATTGATCTTTTCTAATTTGAACTTCACATATCAATATACCCAATCTTTCCACTATCTGCTTTCTGCATTTTTTTTTTCCTTTTCTGTCATTGAGGTGTTCAAGGTGGGTTGAACTAACTATAAGGTAACCACTTGGTCTTACTGGCAATCTAAGTAAAGTTTACGGTGAAAGTCTGTTTATCTGTAACATAGACAGCATGCTTCTTGCAATCAACCTGAGAAATGAGTGCAGTTTTCAGTCCATATGCTTATTTCTTCATAGTCAGTTTTCCTATATTTCAATAAATGAGCTTAGCTATCTCCTTATTTTACCCTTGCCACGTCATTCATGGTTATAATGTTTCATTATGTGTTTGGAACCAGTTTGACTTTCAGAAAAGGAAGAACTAGCTTTCCAATGTAGGTTTTAGAGGGTGTTTGGATTGGCTTTTAAAAGCAGCTTATAAGCTAAAAGCCATAAGTTGGGAATACCCGACTTTTAGCGTATTTTTGTACTTTTTGGCCTAAAAGTAAGTGCTTAAATGCACATTTTATCTTTTCCCAAACACCACAAAAATAGAAAAAGAGCTTAAAAGCCAAAAACACTTGAAATAAGCTAATCCAAACACCCTCTTAGTTTGATACAACTATTTCGTTCAGGTAAATGTTTGGTTGCTGGTATAATTGTTCTGTGTGTATCTTCTTTTAACGGCTAAACTGCATTGGACAATTTAAACATCTGCTTGACTTATCCAAAAAGGAAAGCAAGTTTCCTTCTTGCAGCTTCTCACTTGTACGTTCATGTTTCCTTTGGTATAAATTTTTAGTTCAGATACATGTGTGGTTGCTTGTTGGTATAATTGTTTCATTTTTAGTCCTGATCTTTCTATGCAGCAATCTACTTATTGTACATCTGTGGTTTTCTAACTTTTTTTTCCTGATATTCCTGCTATGGAGAATTAATTCATGTTGCAATATTTTCTTGTCCAGAAATGTACTTTGATAGGGGGAACTTTTACGACTTCACCTCCCTTGGTGAGTATTTCATACATTATGCAAGTGGAAACAGAAGAGAAATTTATTCCTTAGCTGGGTGAACCTGTACAAACATGCTATATTGGTTTTCTAGTTTAAATTTGACTGTTGCTTCTGACTTATGAGCTACTGTCAGGTCAGATTATGTTAAGTTTTTAGAGTGTATGGGTATTCTAGTATGTTGATTTTGCTGTGAGTTTCCATATTTCCTGTTCATGGGACCTAGATGAGTAGTCTAATGTTTCTCTTTTCTTCTCACTTTACTTGTCTTAGGAGTTGACTCACAAGCTGTAGACCCAATTTTATTTAACTTTAAATTTAGCTGGACTTGGAATTTTTTTCAGGTTCTCAATATTTTAGTTGCTTCATAGTAGAGAATGTAGAATCAGGATTAATTTCTATTATCTTTGTACATCCACTTCTGTTCTTAGGTTCATTATGCAGCATTCCTTTGGTGGTTTTTCCTAGGAAATTTAGTTGAGGTTGCTAGACTCTCTTTCCCCTATTTCATCTACTGCTATTCTATTACTCCCATCACAGCATTGTAGTGGCTCCAGACTGCCCTGTTCATTCTTTTGCTTGAACCTTTCCCTTTGTTCTATTTATCCATGGTTTAGAGACGAACCCCAAAAATTTGGTGTTCTTCCATTGCCAATTGTTGCATGTTTACCTCTTAAGTTGTGCTACTTATACTTGTCTTTGCTGGACTACAATACGTTGGTCATTTTCAGTTTGAGCTGTTGTCTAGGGGGTATGCAAGTTTGGTATTAGTGGGTATGCTTGCTACAAGTTATTTGAAATAGAATACTCAGATTTACTGCCTTAACATCCATTTAGAATTATACTTCTCAAATTTTTGTTATAGTTCTTCTTCGTCACTGGTTTTCTTTCCTTGTATTGCTTCATTTACTCCATTTAATGTTTATCCTTGTAGTCCGAGAACTGGATGTTCCTGGTGAAATCTATGAAAGGAAAACATATCCTTTTGAGTTTTCAACTGTTGAAATGCCCTATGAAACATATAATGGGGTTAATGTTCGACTTAGGTAAGTTTCTTTTGTTTTGGAACCTTGCAGCATATATATGATACTTTTATCTATAATGTTTCTTCCTTGCTTTGTTTTGATGAAGTGATGATATAATTGTTTGTTTCCTCCATTGAGATTTATTTATGTCACGCCCCGAGCCTCCACCCTGGACGTGGCTGACACTCGAAGACCATTGCTGGCCTCAAGCGAACCCTTGGCCTGACTTACTGACTCAGCGGAAGACTTAACTCATCACATACACATTTATGAAGTAACTAGAATGTTATAAAGGAACATTTAACTGGCCATTAAGACAAACTCAAGTCTTTAACATATGAAATGAAAAGTAAGGACAACTGAATTAACTAACTGACTGTCTGTCTGTCTATGAAGCCTATAAACAACTGAGATGGATGTCGGGACAGGCCCACAACATCCTAATGAACTAATACTAAAACTGAAAGCAATGAAAAGGAGTCCTCTGGAATGCAAAGAGGCTCACCAACAGACTCTGAACTGCTCACTGGATCAACGGTGCACTGGAATGTCGATCCTAGTTACCTGTGTCTGCATCATAAGAAGATACAGGCCAACTGGCATCAGTACATTGAATGTACGAGTATGCGAGTTGGAATGCTAAACACAACTTAAGCTTGAAAAGAAACTGAAGAACTTACTTGGCTCAACTCAACATAACTGAACTCATTTCAATATAAATCAGTTTTAAAACAAGTGCAATATAAAGAAAAGCTGTTTAAAACATGATGTCAACTCTGGGCATATGCAAAGATACACTAAAACTCTGAAATGTATGTAAAAATACAAATAACTGTGTATAT